AAGTTTAGATGTCATTGGAGTCTTTCTGTAATGCTTGACAAACTCAACAGTCTCCTGCCTGATAACACTTTTACCCCCTTTCAGAAGTGACACCATTTTGGCGCTCTGTCTGTTCAAGACTGACTGGTCTGGTACCAACTTCCTTTCCAATTAGACCTTTCCTTCAGGATGTTTAACTATTTTTGTCATCGGCTGTATCTTTTATCTTTTCCTACTGTTCTGTAAAACATTTGCAAGACTTAGGTAATCCAACGTGTGTTGGACTATTGTTATTGACCGCTGAAAGACCATGTCACATGACCATTTAGAAGGGATGTCGCCTCTGCCTCCCATTAGTTAACCTTATTCTACTTCAGTTTATCTGTTCTAACTAAATAAATGCTGGGATTGGCAGTAATTTGATCATTTGAAGTAAATAAAATAGATGTCATGTGTCTTTGTGTTTAGCAATTTACTCATTCAGTTTTACAATGTCCTATAATTTAAAAGTGTGCTGGTATTAAGCTCTGTGCCTTTGTGCATCACAGCTCCTGTTCCCCCTCCTATTCGCCCTCCTGCTCCACTGTGCTGTCACTCTCCTTCTTTCTCCGTCCTCTGCCTCTCATCCCTCAGAGCCCTCAGATGAACTCGCTGAGCTGGCACTGCTCGGGCTAGTCCCTCTGACTGTGGATGGGGCCCTGGCCCACCACCTGCAACACTGCCCCTACCACCTCCGCCTCCTCAAGACCCAGCTGATGTGTGGTCAGGAGCTCCCAGAGTGTCTCTACGGTCAGCCTCTGTGGTCTGCTGTCTGTCTCTTTGTCAGTCCTGCACTCTTGAACTGGCGCAGGAGAAACTGGGATGCTGCTAATGCTGGTTGAGCTTTGCATCTACTGTTGTTCCATTCTGGCTCGTTTTCTGCTCGTTTATTCTTTTATTATCTGCCTTTTAATGGTGTCTGTAATTCTGCATCATGCTCCATTTCATGGCTAAAATTAAAAAAATGCTAGCATGTTTGACAGACATTTCAACTCTGTTTTTCTTTGCTTCTCTAAAGTCAAAATGAAACAACAGTTTGGAGTTTTTATCACCTCTAAATTAGTGATATATCAGAAGGAACATCAGTTTGTGAATTAGGCGTGTGAGGCAGATTTTATTATAAAATCTGAGTAAAGTTCTGAAAAGAGGCCGTGACCTTGATAGCATCTATCAACTAGAAAAGATCTCGAAACACGAGTGCAATAAATTTTAATCTGAATTTTTACATGTTGCATGGTTTCAGCAAAATATTTAAACAATCTTCAAAAGGAAACATATTTTTTTCAGCAATCCCATCCACTGTGATGTAGCAAATTGGAGCAATTTAGCAAAAATAATCAAAGGATAGTTTCTATTTTGTTGTCAAGTACCATTAAATCATTGCAGAGAAAACTTGAAAGGTCTTCAGCGAAACTAGAAATGAGAAATCTGTGGACGGAACCTTGTTAATCTTTTTCAATATCCTAAACCTCTTGAGTTATTTTTATTCAGTTCTTCTCTGAACATGAACATCTTCAGAGCGTCTTCCACTGTATAAAACGCTCTTTAGTCAATTGTCATCAAATACATTTTGACCTGAAGGACTAACTGTGCTGGATGCATGCTGGTTACTTGTAAATCAAACTATGCTGTGGTTCAATTTTAGGTTTGCTTTTTTTTATTTTTTGCATGTTCCACACGGATCTGTGGACTTAAAGCTGGCCATTTGTTCAGCAATGAGACGTTTGTATATTTTTTGGTGTTAGTGGCATCAAATTGACCCTCCCTGTGGGAGATCACGACTAGGCTCCACTTTACAATAACTCTTTTTGCACCCACTGATATGGATGATGTTTAAGCATCTGTGCAAGATTTGGGTCAGTATTGTCTTTTCTGTCATTTTAATTGGGCAATTAAGCAGTAGTCTGCCCATAAACTGCTGGTTTTATGGACTGTTCCTGCAGTCGGTCCTAGCACTCCGTGTCAGCTTGAAAAATGACTTTTATTCTTTGTTGATTGCAGAGACAACTGTGTGAGATGAGCTACAAAAAGCCTTTGTTTGCAACATGACTGTTCTTGCGGCGTTGTGTTAGTGGTGCAGTGCTCAGTTAGTGGTTTGGGCTTTTGCTGCATCTGATATGTGAGCTGAATTTTTTGTGTCCATATGAAGAGACCGCAACGAAGATTATATAACAAACAGTGGACTCATAAAAATCATAGGAGGGAGAATACATTAACTGCTGTGAATATCGCAACTTGTTTAGATGCATCATAAACTGTAATGTGTGGTATTGGTTTTGTTAAATAGCGAATGCTGCTTAAGTCAAAAAACAAAATTCACAATGATAATAACATTTTTTTTTTACATCAACTGGAGCAAAAGTATATTTTCCTTTACTCACAGGGCTCTGGAAATCAGGGAAAACCTGGAAAATGACTTTTCCAGACAGGGAAAATGTAGGAAATTTGAACACTGATCTGCTGATTAAGGGGTTATCTTTTTTTCTAATTGTTTTAAGATGTCCAGGCAGGATGGAGTGGGTGGAGACAAGTTTCAGGAGTGATTTGTGATAAAATAAAAAGGGTGTCAGCAAAGGTCAAAGGGAAAGTTTACAAGACAGTGGTGCGACCAGCTATGTTGTACGGTCTGGAGACCGAGACATGGACAAAAAGACAGGAGACAGAACTGGAAGTGGCAGAAATGAAGATGTTGAGGTTCTCCTTAGGAGTGACAAGGATAGAGAAGATCAGGAATGAGATCATCAGAGGTACAGCACAGGTTGAACTGGGAGGTAAAGTTAAAGAGGCCAGACCATTTAACACAGCTAAAGTCCATCCTGCCTATTGTTTACATGTGTGACATCATAGAGGAGCTAAGATGGCGTCTAAAATGAGCTACTACTCACAGGTGACAGCTGCCTTTAATTAGCAACAAGCCCAACTGGACCTGTGTCACAAATTATTTGAATATCTCTACAATAATATAAATAATTTCATACACCAATCATGTAAACAACTACCGTAGATGTTGTAGAAAATATCACAGCAGTCACGTGCTGAAGTGTCCCTGGGCGGGACACTGAACCCCTCGTTGCCTCCGATGTGTGTCCCATCAGTGTACGAATGTGATAAAGCTCTGATTAGTCTTTGTACAGAACTAGTAGAGTGATGTATGAACGGGTAAATGAGGACACAGATTGTTGTAAAGAGCTTTGAGTATCTTGATAAGATAGAAATGTGCTCTACAAGTACAGTCCATTTACCATTTACTTTATTATTTTTTACATTTTTACATAACCAGCCCTTACTCAGGGCTATTTAGTCAAAACGACAAGTTTGGCTCTGGCTGCAGTGAATCACAAGGTCACGTGACCAAAGTGCCCTCTAATGTTTTCTATAACTCTGCGGGTGACACGGACTGAGATTGTTTGGACGTGTGCAGAGGAGGGACGGTGGGTATAGGACGTTAGATGTCCTCCAAAGAGGAGATATGTGGATGCAGTTAGAACATGGAGGTAGTTGGAGTGAGGACAGAGTGAGATGGAGGAGGAGACACGGATTAATGCTAATATTGTATTATCAGAGTCCATGTTCTGCTTCTACAGTGTACATAATGTCTCCTTACTGATTGGCTATGGTGGATTTTTAGTATCTGATGTTATACAATATATTAATTAGGAACAATAAATTATTGTATGTCCTAGTCGTAACAAGGTGGAGGCTTCGTGGATCTGAGTTGTTTCTTCAGATTATTCTACAGCTGCGTTGACGGTAGAGGAAATCTACGGTAAACATCCACTCTTCCACCGTGCTGCCCAGGATTGATCAAGAATTGTTGTTTTAGTAACTTTTGTCAAAGGAATCTCTTATGAGTGACCAGACCCAACATCTCCCAGCAGAACTTTGCTGAAAGCGTTACGCTGGTTCTTCCTCGTTCCTCAGTCTGTGCGGCCTACAACATGATGTGTAGGTGATCTAAGAACCATCAGACCATTCTTCTCCTTTCAGCAGTGGACACGGGTCAACATGGACGCTCAGCTGCTCTGGAGGTTTGCAACCTGTGACGTTCTGAGCCACGATAGACTTTTTATTTCTCAACAAACTGGATCTTTTTGTCTCCTGCTAAATTAGTAGCCATTTTCAAGGTGTTCCCATCTTGGGTCTTGTTAGTGTAATTTGTTTTTTTATTATTGCTCAGTGACAAAAGATAAGATTTGGCTTGGACATTTATCTCAACAAACTGGAAAAAAGGTGTCTTTAAAAAAAAAAAAAGAATAAATGTTTATCATTTTATGTGAAGTTGATAATGTACAGGTGTTTTTTTTATTGTCCATCATTATTTCCCACAACTTGTCTAGATATTTGTACAATATTAACCATCGTATACACTTTTTTATACATTTTTTTCTTGAGAAATTAAAAAAAAAAACAGAACAAAGTGCACGGTTTATTAACCTTTTGTTTAATCTTCTTTCAAACAGACAAATTGTTTCATCTCCGACTGTGTCTTCACCCTGACTCTGAAGACACAGAGTAATCTGCACAGTAAAATCTCAAACATTGATCATTAAACTTCAGCTAAAAGAAATAAAAACCTCATTCTTACAAGTTCAAAATGGCTTTCAGCGTGACTACCTGCAGAGTTGGTGTGCTGTGCTTTGAACTGGACCTCTTTTTGGTTGGAATATTCTGCTTTTGTTCTTGTGGTTTTACTAACAAGTGAGGGAAATGTAACAGTTTTGAATGTGTGGTGTAACCTGAGCCTGTGGGTGGACGGCACCATCTGATGTGGAGAGTAACATTTGACTGACTCTTGCTCCTTTAGCTGCCTAAATGATGTTGTGGTTAGTTAGTCAACAAAAATAGCCGTTGTTGGCTTCGTTTGGTTTTCAGATAATGAGCAAATAGACCAACGAGCATGCACAGAGACCTGATCCGTTTCCTGCTTCTGATAAAGTGGTACAACAGGCTGTTTCTCTCTCTCTCTCCTTTCTGGATTGCAGGATTCGAAGGTTGCTCCATGGTGCCATCTATTTACCCACTAGAGACACTGCACAACTTGCTCTCCCTGAAGCAGGTGGAAGAGTTTCTCAGAAAGGTGTGCGAGAGCTGCGAGGCCCAAACCAAAACTATGAAAAGTAAGTCCGCACATCGAGACGGATAGGAAAACAAATTTATTATAGTGTTACTTATTATTGAACTACATAGCAGTCCTGAAGTTCTAGACCAAAGCAGAGGATCACAGATTCACAGAAACTGAAGAGCAGTCGAACATTTTTATACGTCCATCAAAAGGCCGACGTATTTTTATATAAACTCTGTCCGTATGTCCGTAAACGTTCCCTTGTTCCACCCATAACTTCTGATCCTGGAAATTCATTCACATATACATAATCATTAGATGGATTGCTTCATACACTGTACATTTCCTGACTCCAAGGTCACAAATCAAGGTCAAAGGTGAAACAAGATATTTGCTTGTCCCACCCATAACTTTTGATCTGCTGAAG